CCTTGCACAAATTCAAACCTCCGAGCGTTCTCTACTTTATCTTCTTCTGACAGCTGTAACTGTTTAGGTTTTCTGTAACAACATAACATTGTCAGACTATAAGTGTTGGAATAGTTGTGAATAACAAAATGAATGAAAAGGTTTCGAAGCAGGGTGACACGATGCTAAAATGATCATAACAGTTCAAGTTATTCCACTAATCACAACTATTGAATGCAGATCGAATTACTCATTATATCTCGATAAATCTAACTTCAAATACGTATTCAAAATGTGACATATAGGTTCCAATTCATGAATACCTGAATGCAGATCGAATTTTATCAGTCAGTTTTTAAAAAGAAAACGGTAACAAATTTAACCACATATCGAGCATAAGACGCACCCAATACTATAACTATTACACAAACAACCTAAATGTTTCCCATTAATTTTTCAAGAATAGAAGGACATAATAAGATAGCGGTATCAACCTTCCTACCTTTCCAAGAAATGATCTTTTGAGTTTTCTTTTACAAGAGCACCTTGGATGGAAGCAGGAAGTGTTGCACTCAAAGACTCATCAGCAACAAGTGGGCTGAACATAAAAGATGATAACAGAGGATCAGGGTCAGAATTGGAGGAAGCTATGAATGAAGAACCTCCAAGAAGTGACTGCAAGGCTCCATCTCGTAACTCTCTCCTCAACATAGAAAGTGTAGAGCAAGAGCCTCCTTTCCTAACCCTCCTTTTACGCTGCACGTAAACTTTGGTTATGGAAAATCATTTGGCCAAATGAATAGTACTTGAAATCAGAAAGCTACCAAGGCAATGCAGATAGGAAATACGATTTGGGTTCACCTTCCCCATAAGAACGAGAATAGATAGGGACTAGGTAAAGTACTATTGTATTCATACCCTTTTCTCTGCCCGTATTTAAAAAAAAAATTGCATTTGTCAATATGGTGTGTGGATAAACAACTTTAACCTTCATGCCTGTGCCATTTGAATACCTATATATTAATTCTCATTCCCATTACTGCACACTTCCCTTGTATATAAATCAATAAAAGAAATATTAATTATAAAAATTAATTCTTGAATGAAAGGATATAGTTGATTCCTTCTGTTATTTGTTATAGCACTCAAAACATAGAATGCTATTGTTAACATGCATTTATGTTGGTTTCTCCAAAAGCACGAAATAAATTGAATGCGTGAATATGTTTATATTATTTAATAGGTTTTGCTAACTTACACTTACTTGTTCTTTTAGAAAGAGTAAGGTTGCAAGTTATAACTGCAAATTTTTTAACATACACCCAATGTGAAACTTGGTAAATTACTCTTTCTAAGTATATAAGTGGGTGAGTTTGCAAATGGGAGAATCAGGCTTGCTAACTTATATCCACTTATCTTTTAAAATGACTTAGTAAGTATAACTAAAAAATTTTAAAACACATCCAAGGTGTATTTGCTAACTTACTCCTTCTAAAACACAAAATGGGTTTAAGTTAGCAAAACCATATAAAAATAAAATAGGTATAGGATAAGTACTATAGTATACTACAAGTCCTCGTCCACAACAAAATTTACAAGTAAATACCTATCGTAGACTCGTCTAGATATCCTACACTCATCCCAATTAGCGGCTATTTATTCTACTCGTTTGTGGCTAATTTTACAAATATTCAAAGTCGGCGCATACTTTGTCATCCCAACACAAAGACTCTTGTTCTACATACATAGTTAACTAAATAGGACAGATTCAACACATGATATATTATTTAACAATGTTGAAATCATAGGAATAACTACACCAAACAATTTGCCACATTTGATAAAGTCTAATACATCAGATAAAACATGCGTAATCGAGTACCACTGTTCTTCATTTCAAACAACATAAACTAATGCTTGCTTAATAGAAACATACTCAAATTGGCTCATAGAAATTTATCACACATTCACTACTCCGCAAGTAGCTGACTTGACCATCATAATGACGGGAAGACACATGAAAACTCTTCACATGACATTTTACAGGTTTAATTTTTTGTTTTCTCTTTTCCTTTATTAAAGGAAAATAGCATGGATATTTGAAATTTTATCCATCAACAATTTTGGTATAGTTTAAATGTTTATGGAAGAAAAAATTCGAAAATAAAATGAATCAAGCTTCCTTCCTAAGTTAAAATCATTTATGGATGACAACCATTTCAAAAGTTAATAATATCCTACATTTCAAAAAGCTAAGGTCGTAAGTTAATTTTAACTTTTCACAAAAAAAAATCATTCATTTCACTTCATATTTCCTCTATTAAACACGTGCACGGACTTTTCACAACTTCACGAGCATTCAAACAACTGAACCGTCAACTTAAATTATCAAATCACTGAAGCAAAGACGAATAGAAACACCATAATCAAGAAACATAGAACCAAATTGCAAAAAGGATATCCTCAAGAAGCTCCCATGTTGCGTGGTAATATGTCCAATGATATCCATTCCTACCTTTTTGCCACAAACAGGACACACCTGAAGACGCAAGCACCAAGCAACAATTAAGAAACACGACTTAGCGCGCGAAACAAGCAATCAGCTAATAAAAGATATAATGCGAGCCAGAACATAACAGAACCAATATTGCTGTTGAGTTAGCAAGCAGACCCACCCACAAACTCACTCGCTCATCCTCATTGAAGAACTTGAAGGAATTGAGAGTGGTAATAAAAATACATAATTTATTTATCTTTTTTACTATGATCACTAATTTACATCATGTTTAACTACTCCTTTCAACTTTATACCCGTAAACATTACATATTATATAGTTACAACACTGAAAACATCTTATTTTAATCTCTACAAATATACATTTTTAATGACTTAAGTTCCTATAACTACATCTAAAAGTGATTAAAGAAGTATATGTAGAGCATGAATGGAACACGAATTTTTTTTCTTTTAATTAGAAGGATTAAAATAAGTTTAAACCTTGATATTAAGTTAAGAGGTTGTGTCGGTAATTGGTAAGTGGAAAGAAGAAAGGGGAAACGGACCCCGTTTTTGGCTTGTATAGGATGGTGCTCGTCAATGTGGCAACAGAGAGAAACGACGTCGTAATCCTCGGCGCAGTAAGGGCAGAGGTACTCCGCTCTTAAATCATCGTTCCCTTCACTCTCCTCCATGTACAGATCTGCAACAACAATTGCAGTTCGCTATATCATAATATTTTCTATCCAATAATAAACGTTTTTTCAAATTCAAACAACAGAATCAAGAGAGTGGAGATAGTGCGAGACCAGATCGAGAATGATGGCGGCGTGAAGAGGTGGAGATGCGCGTGGAAGCCCACGAATTTGAGGAGTCCATGAAACCCTAAGATCAAAAACAGCGAGGAATGTACGTCGGAGAGAGAGATATATAGAGAGAGAGAGAGTTTATTGTGGCACCGGCAAGAGGAGAGAGTAAGCTTATGTGTTTTGGATTTATTTATATAATAATAATTGTATAAATCATTGTCTATATCAAAATATGTAATAAAAACTACATTAGCTATGCAATTTTTTTTTAAATTAAAATCAATAATTTTAAATGTAATTATTTTAGTAAAAATGACTGTAAAACTATCCTATTCAAAAAATAAACTTCTTCTTAATTAATGTATGTAAAAATTAAACGAAGTATATATATATATATATTTTGAGTAATGATTATTATAATAGCATGTGGCTCTCGTAGCTCAGTTGGTTAGAGCACCCGTTTAGTAAGCGGGAGGTCTTGAGTTCGACTCTCAACGAGAGCATGTCAGCTTGTACTCGGTTTTTTTTTTCATTTTAATAATGTTTTGCTTATTCTGGGTTTCTTTTTCATTTAAATAAGACTTCTTTAATCATTTTTCTTTTCCTGTAAAAGGATAATGGGAATATCGATGTTTGATCGAAAGATTTCTTTTTGGGAATATGAAGTTGGAAAACTTGTTCATCGTGTTTGGTTTTGCTTTTTAAAATAACATTCAATCAATGCTTTTCTGGAATTTTTAAAAGTTTCCATAAAAAAAAAAACGTTTTCATGAGAGATGTTAATTTTATTTTGACCAGACTCTTATTAAGTCATTTAATGTTGTAACGAATTAAAGTTTTAAATTAAAATCAATAACTTCTATTGATTTCTAAAAATGGGATATAAAAGTTTTTAACAATATTTGTCACCATCCAAACCGAACTTAATTATTCTTAGGAGTAGTAATTCACAATTTCCATAAACTCTGGAAATTATGATTTCCAAGAACTAACAAAATTTGGATACCATATTGTTCCTTAAGAAATGTTTATATATTTCATGAGATGTGATTCTCTAGTTAAAAATAATTGGAGAATATGCAATATAACATGTTTTTTCATAAAATAAAAGTTTGTTTATTTTATTTAATTTAATTAAACTATTCAATTGCTCTTGGATAATAGAATAGGTGGTTTATTAAAATAAGTTCAACATGTAGAAAAACTTAAAACAATTAAGAGTGAATAGGGTTTGGAATTGAGATGTCTAATCACAAGAGCTCATTAAAATAGATTTGTATTAAGTTTTTCGTTTTCATTTCATTTTACACTTGTTCAAAGTTCTAACTCTTAAGATAATGAATAAAATAATGTGTTCCATCAAAGTATTAAAAGAAAAATATCTTACGTATAAATACTAATAAGAATTGTAGTTAAAGAAACGATCTTCAAGTCTTAGTATGATATATTTTAAGTGATTATGGGTGGGCTATGAACACCCGAAGTAAGTGTTAATAATAACATGATGTAATTCTGATTGTTGTTATTCTATTTTATTATATTATTGATTTATTATGTAACTGTTTTATGTCATGTAAGAGCAAATCCTTAGATTCGTATATATTTATATTGGAGGATTTTATGATTCAGATATATCTAACAATTAAATTGGTTCGATGGAGTATTATTTATTTTTGGAGTAGAACATCATATAATTGTAAGTTGATGTTGCTATAAAAATGATTTTTTAATTTGATTGATGCAACGACAAATCAGAATTTATAATAATCGATATTTATCAATGTAAATTGTGATGATATAACTCCAAAATCTCTAAAATCTATTAATTTTTAAGCACACTTAAGATAAGTGCAAAATGGTCAGCCTACAAGCAAAATTCGGTAAAATTGTTTTCATGAAATTAGTATTAGTTAACCAAAAACGTTGGTTTAATACGAAAAGGAGTTAGAGAACTTAGGTTACAATCAAATTGCTGACAAAACTTTAAATTGTCAATATTAAAGTGTAAATGCACGTTTCTCTCCATTTTTTATAATAAATAATTAATCTGAATCATATCCTTCAAACATTTCACTTATTATTTATCCAAAGTGAAGTTTCAAACAAATAAAGATAACTCATTGATGTGATTAAAATAATTTATCCATCAAATACAAAAACTTACAAGGAAATTCGACTAGATTTGCATTGCAGAACGAATTTCAACTGAATCAGATCAAATTGTAGTATATACATATTTCTATTGATTTGGATAAATCTTTTATCCAGAATCAACTAAAATCACACCACAAACTTCCCAACAAATAAATATGTATGCATTTAATTTCTCAAAAAAAAAGTATGGCACATAACAAAAATACACTGTTTCAGGTATTATTTTATAACAAAATAAAATGGGACACACAAACCAAGTGCAAATAGACAGTGACAAACTTAATTATGTTGCTGAGACAATTCTTTGGTTCAAATACGAAATACTCATTGAAAAATACTTAATTTTATTTGTCTTATCTGACCATCAGCAATTCTTGTCACTGCTACTTCTGTCACCATATCAATGTCGTCATTGTCTCCACCAAGATTATTGGATTTGATTGGAAACCCAGGAACCATAATCCTTAGTAGAAACAGCTTCCACAACAATAGGCATAAAAGCATGATTAGTTCCACAAATTTCACTGCACTGACCATAATAAACTCCTTCTCGTTGTATAAAAGTAGAGATCTGATTCAAACGACCAGGTACTGCATCACATTTCACACCTAAGGAAGGTACAGCCCAGCTATGAAGTACATCAGCTGATGTTATCAGAACACGCAGATGAGTTTTGGCTGGTACCACCACTCTATTGTCAACTTCTAATAAACGCAGTTGACCCAATTCTAGATCATCTTCTGGAACCATATAACTGTCAAAAGCAAGTGACTGCTCATCCGAATTGTTATAGTCTGAATACTCATAACTCCAATACCATTGATGCCCAATAGCTTTGATAGTAATGGCAGGATCAACTACAACATCGTCCATTGAGTATAACAAAGTGAATGACGGTATGGCGATAAACATGAGGATGATACTGGGCAATATGGTCCAGAGAATCTCAATGGTGGTTCCATGAACAATCCTTTGTGGGATTGGACTAATTTTAGACCTGAAACACCATAAAGCACGAGACAAGACCCACAACACAAAAACCGCAATTTGAACAAGGAAGAAAAAGATATCGTGATGTAAGTCCATTATTCCTTGCATTATAGGTGTTGCCGCATCTTGAAATCCTAATTGCCACGGTTCTGGTGCATCACAAAATGCTATCGCAGGGAAGCCTCCACACATCCATCTATTCATAATAAAGACAACACTTGGAATATATGATTACTGAAAATGATCAATCGTGTTCTCTATAAGAAATTCAAGATTAATCATTACAAGTTATGATAATCGGTTTATCTCAATAAAAACTTTAGTTTTTTCCTAACTCTTACCACGTTATATTTTAATATTTCTTCATCGTTACAACATATGCACTCTTGTTCTAGTCTATCTTAAGTTATACAGTCTGAGACAATTAAAGAATCAAATTTAAACGCGATGCGGAGACTTAGAAAAAGCCACTAAGACATCTTTCTTTTATCCCATACCTTGGACACATGTAAGGTATTCACTCTCTAGAAACGAATACTATCCTACAATACTGACATTAGGAAGCGACAAATCCAATGTGTAATTTCAAGAACAGGAAGATAACATAAATGTGTATATTTCCCTAAATGCTAGAGTATTGAGATTGAATATTTCAGGAAAAAAATTCATAACTAAAGTGTATTTGCTGTACTTTTTTTATCTCTATGTATGAAAAACATCCTAGGTTTATAAAAGTTTAGCTTAACCAAATACCCACCTTATATCACGTCTTCTTGCACTTTGTTATGACACAATTTGAAAGTCAATCCCATTTTAAACCTCTCATTGTCACTCTTTTCAGTGGCAAAAAGGATGTTGCAAACTACAATAGTCTATTAAAATTGTATGTAACATATATATTAACATTTAAATGGTAATGAAAGAACACAAACCTTAAAGCCCTTGGTATCTTCTCCATCCCAGTAGTCATTTTACGGATGACAGGATTTGCAGCAATCTGTTCAGGTTTCACAGGGGTTTTGAAGCAACTACTGAAATTAATCATACTTGAATTTCTGTTGACAGTTGATAAAAAGGATGAAAAGGCAAAGCCTTCACTCCCTATATTTGGCATCTTAAATTTAGTAATTGCAGTCGTACTCTCAGTTCCAGGCGTCATAGAAGGGGAAGAATACGACCTCTTGCTAAAATGCTCATATTCTTTACCACTGGATAAAATCAACTTGCGCTGAAAATCATTCGACTGCAGGAATCTTGTCATGCCAAAGTTTCCTTTGCAACATTTTCCCACAAATGTGGACCTAACATGAGATAGCAGGCCCATGCTAGAGCTTCAAGAGTTTTCCCTCACTTCGGTTCCACTGTAATAGAAATAATAAAATTTTGGTTAGTTCCAAGACATTATTGAATAACTTCAAATAAAGATATACATAATCATGGCAAACAGATCACTGAAAAAAAATTTAAGACTAAACCAATTACAATCCAAAACCATATTTCTTGTTTATGTAGTTTAACTTATATATTCTCGTAGTAATTTAAAAGCTCTCACATAGTCATTGTATTATACAGCAGAACCAGAGGCATAAAGTTCATATGTGATGTATATTTTATGATTGGCAGAGCATATCAAGTTGGTTGGGGCACAGTCTGTCGTGTGGCAAGCATATGTTATAACTTAGTGAAGAATATCGTATACAACACTTAGCAGCAGATTAGAGAAGAATATCGTATACAAAAAAAAACGTACACTATAAGTCAGGTTTTCACCAATTCACAGGAAGAATTGATGAAGATAGATTTTAGAGGGAGGGTTCTACAGGTAAGAGGGATGCTGGTTGGAGGTGCTTTGGTTAATGCTCATAAAGTTACTGGTTAGATCGAAAGTACATGCTTCTCAGAGCTTTTGGTTTGCGCATAAAAAATGCAGCAAAATTTTGAGTTGATTTCTTCATTGTATTTCTGTGGGTATGGAATTAAGATGTAGGGGTGTGTGACACTTAAATATTTTCTACTTTTGTATGTGTTTGAACTATGGTA